TTTCCAGTTCTCTGTTTCTATTTTAAATCCTATTTCAAAATGCCCATCCCTAGAGTTAAGGGGGTCACCAATTTTGAAACAATTTCTACATTTTTCCTTTTAGTTCTTTCATTAGGATTAAATTAAAAGTTGAAACATACACAGACTTGAGTCTCTGACTGAATCTTTATATCACAATGTGGAAAACCACCTGCACACCACATTGCTTTCCTTGCCCTATGGACTTACGGGACCCTCCTCCTCTTCCTCCTCCTCCTCTTCTTCTTCCTCCTCTTTCTCCTCCTCTTGCTTCTCCTTTCCCTCCTTCTCCTCTTCTTTTTCTTATCCCTCTCTTTCTCCTTGTCCTTCTTCTTCCTCTTCTTTTAATGTTTCAGCTATTTGCCAAACAACCATTATTAAAAGGATACCGAGTCGTGAGTCTGCTGGAAGGGTGTGTGTACCAGTGCACTTGCTGGAAAATGCACCTAACAGTAGAAGGACTCGTCACCACTTTTCAACTGTCCTCCCCAAAGACATTAGGCAAATCCTCCAATCTTCTTTACCGTCTGTGAGGAAATGATAACTTTTTCACGGTTTCCGAGAACAAACTCTGGCCCATTCAGAACTGGGCTGGGTGATGGAAACAGTAAGCTTGATTTTGAGGTTAGTCACACACTTCCTTTCATCTTTCATTCAGTTTTGTTTGTTTCTGAAGTGAATCAGAGTTTAACATGACGATGATGAACTCCTACAAGAGTTAAAAATCACATGTTAGGGAAACGCCGACATGTGAATTGAAGAAAGCCTGGACATCATACTTTTTACTTTGTTAGGATCTCTGCAGGCAAACATCAAAATCTCCTAAAAAATTGTCAAATGATAATGAGAATAAAGTGATGATCATCATTAATTCTGCAGCTTCTACTTTTCTTTATAAAGTCTGTCATTCAACATTTGATTGATTGTGACCATGTCAGTAAAACCTAACTATGAACTGAGAAAATAGATTATTCATTAACATTTGGATTTTACTCCTCATTTCCCAGGAAATTCAGCATGTTTGATGTGGAGATGATTTCTAAAAATTTTATTATAATCTGAAAAATCCTCTCCGAATAATTTTCACGGATTTTGTCTACCTGGATTTGCTCATGCTCCCTTTGTAGTTTGAGTCTTCTGTTAACAGGAAGGCTTGGGATAGCGAATCACTTAAATCAAACTGGAATCAAAGTTACAGTACCATTTCAGACCCATCATTAGCACTCCAACCAACAAAAGCTGGCACTTTTGCTCATTTGCAGTCAGCAGGAATTTGGCGGGCAGGTGTCAGGCAGAAGACTTCAGAAGCATTGTGCAGGACAATGGGCTGTGTGCGCAGGATGGTTTCTTTGGTGCAGAGAGAATTTTTGTAGCCAATGTGAATTCCCAGATCAAAGCCACCATGCACCTGTCAGACTGCTCTGCACCCTCAAAAAACTATGTTGCCCACATCTGTCTGCTCTTCAACTGCATTTCGCCTATGACAGCTACTGCTATTTCTTGGCGCTGGATTCCATGTTGATCCTGTGCAAAGTGGGCAGATCCCACCCCACTTCTCCACCCTCTTCCCAGCCCCACCTGCTCCTTAGAACATGGACAGGAGACATGGAAGAATTAACTCCTATTTCTTGTGACTTTCCTTAGGTATGAAAACTAATCTACTATACATAAAATATTACTGTCAGTGGGGTTTTTTTTTTTCATTTTTAAGTGTTTGGTGTGTAACAAATATTCACAGAGTACCTATTATAAAGCAAGCATTTTTATAGGTCATTAGGATGTAGCTGCAGGAAGCACTCGGTCACTTTTCCTACTTGGCTTCAATGCTAATGAATGGGGACATGCACAGTGAGAGGCAAAGGACATCCTAGGTCATAGAAAGTGAATGATGAAGAACAAGGTGGGGAAAGGACGGTGAAAAATGGCTGCAGGGCTGACGTGGTGGTGAGGCCTCTAATCCCACCTACTCAACCCCAAGAGGCTGAGGCAGGAGATCACATGCTGGAGCTCAGGCGGGCAACTTAGTACCATAGCCACACAGTACTTCTAGATAAACCAATAAATTAAATAAGATATAGTTCAGTGTGGAGGTCTGGACTAAATCTCAGTAGAAAGAAAGAACAAAGTGAGAGAAAAATAAAGGCAAAAAGGAAGGAAGGGAGAGAGAGGGAGTAAGGAGGAAATAAATAAGTAAATCTCTAGGGTAGGCTTGAACTGTATGTAATTTGGTATCTCTCTGAACGCGGTGCTGCATGTCTGTAATCCTGCCTCCGGAGAAGATCACAAATAACAGCCCAGCTTGGGTAACCTAGCAACCTAGTGAAATCCTGTTTCAAAAATAAAAAAGTTTTTTTTTTTTTTTTTAAAAAGTGTACTGGGAATGTAGCTCAGTGCAAAGGTCCTGGGTTCAGTCATAGCATCACACACACACACACACACACAAATATATATATATATATATATATATATATATATATATATATGCATATGTGTATATGTGTGTGAAAACAAATTGATGTCCTTTTATTTATTTGTATTTTTGCAGTGAACTGTGACTGTTAGTCCCTTTTCACATCCCTAGTGTGCTAGGCTGAGAGTTACTGCACAGTGAATTGTGCAATTAATGCACTTATACATGAAATTTCACAATAGTATACTTTTATTCATTCAAAAACTTAAATTTCCCTACTAGCAAGTGTTTTTATAGAAAAAAATAATAATATCTGTAAAAAAATTTAACTATTAGAACTAAAAATTATAAAAAACCTCTAGAAATCATTAAAAATAAACAGCTAGTAAAAAGTGAGATTAAACAAGAATTTCATATGAAAGAAAAAAGCATATAGACATACAGACAAAGACCCAATTTAATTCATAATCTCAGAAACATAAAGTAAAATAATTACAAATGATTTTACATCTACCAGATTGGCAAAATTTATAAACAAGGACAACACAAATCAGAAAGAATAAGAAAAAACACTTTAGGGGTATGAATTTCTATAACCAAGTTTAAAAAAACTGATTGGGATTAATCAATAAAGTTGAACAGATGAATAACTTAAAATCTAGACATTCCCCAAAGAAATGTCTATACATGTATACCACCAAATTTCTTAAGGATCTTAAAGAGTACAATTTGTAATATAAAGGAACAAAGAATCTATTGAATAGAGACATTGATATAAGTTCATATGATGGGATATTAATAGTACTAAAGATTAATAAGCTACTGCTATATATAGCAATTTACATGAGGTTCGAAGTACAATATTACATGAACTATGTATGATTTAGATACATAGTGATTCATATATACAACTAATATATATAGCATGAATGAATATATTCAATATATGAATGAATATATATTGGATATATAGTATAAATATGTATAGAAGGATTATATAGTTTGATGAATATGTATAGTATCATGATGAAAATATATATAGTGTGATTCATGCTTTAAAAAGTTTTAAAAAGGAAACAAACAATGTAAATATATTGGTGGTTAAATATAATGAAATTGAAGGAACCAATAAATATATTCAGGATAGTGATTACTTGTAGATGGTGGACGAAGGAGATGATTGTAAAGGGGTACACAAAAGATTCCTTATTTATAGATGATATTTCACATCTTAACTTTGATGGTAGAAATATGAATGCCCCACTTCATGGTTTTTAAACTATAAAACATATGGTTTGAGTCCATGTCATGTTTCACTGTAAAATATTGTATATATAATAAAAATAAGCTTTTGGAGAAGAAACAGTACTTAGTTAAAAGTTTTTATCCATAATCTAGATAAACAACTGAGCTCTGTGTTACATTGGCAAGAATTCTAATGGACAGGAAAGGAAAAAATGCAAAGAGTAGTAGAAAATAGAAAGCAATCAAACATGTAGACTCCTGAACAATAGATATAAGAGAAGAAGGGCAATTTGAGATGTCTCCATGCTACGAAACCATACGCTATTAAGATGACCGCATTAGAGAGGCAATGATTTGAAAGCAGGCAGAAGTGGAATTTACCTTGAGAGCAAGGCCAGAAGAAAAAATTAACATTTTAGAGTTATCTGGTTATTATGGTAATTGATTATACAATAGGGGATACATTCTCTCAGAGAAAGCATAAAATAACAGCATACAAAATTAGGCTTTGAGGAATTTCCTTAACAGGGAAGGAGGAAGTCAGATAAAGAAAAGCTTGTCTTCCTCCAATTTATTCTTCACATGAATGCCAGAGTAATATTTCTAAACCACAAAATTGATCATATCAATTCCACTGGCCAAAACTCTTTATAGCTTCAGGATCATTTCCAAATTCTATAGCCTGCCACAAAATGCTATTTATGTTCCGATCGTATCTCCAGCCAGCTCCATCTCCTGTGACTACCACCCAGCCAGCCTGTCTGCCAACCACACTGAAGAATTCGCCACCTTCTCGCGCAGCTGCACGGCCTTTTAATTAGTTTCCCTTCTGCTTGGACCTGATCATGTCAGCAGACCCCACATATCCTCTTAAAAGCCTTCCCTTGCTTCTTTCAGGTAATCATAAAACCCTTTTCCACTTCGCAACAATCTTTCTACTATCACACCCATCTATAACTGTTTTATTTTTTCCCGTGCTTGATGACAAGGCTAACTTTTATGTCATTGTGCAGACTTGCTAGCTATACATGCAAGTAGGCCTTTAATAAGTGTTTGCTAAATAAATGAGCAACGAGATCAAGAATAAAATAGCCAAGGAAGTTTTCATAAAAACACTAAGATTTTGAAAGAAGAGTGAATGGTTAATAATACTGTACTACAACCAAACTGTGGGGACCTTAAAGGACAACACGCCTGTTTAAGCAGTGAGTCAACAGCTCTGGCTGCGACCCGCCTCCAGCCCAGCAGCAGCCATTCTCCCCTGAGCAGCATTTCCAGGGGTGCCGGAAGTCCAGGGTCATGCCCCGGAAGCGGAAGCGTTTGCTGTGTCTTCTTCCCCTTCCGGCTCTGTGCGGCATAAGTCTGAGCCATCCTGGATGCGAGGGAGATGCTGGTGGTCGTGAGACCTTCATGATAGTATCAGCGGGTGTTTCCACCGAGTAAGTCTGGCTTTGTGAGGGTCATGTGCGTCAGGGGAAGGACAGCTGGGACGTCCCTCCGGTCTCTGCTGCCTCAGGGTTGGAACATGGGGCCGGAGCTGATGGGCAGCATGGGAAACGGTGGCGTAGAGTGGCAATGCTTTTCATGTCCTAGGCTTCAAGGCTGACCGAGGTGATGGTGCTGGGCTCTGCGCTGACCCCTTGAACCAACGAAATCTTCCAGTCTGAAAACAAAGCAGCAAAACACAAGCAGTCAGTGGTGAGCTCTGGGACTTCAGCCATGCCCGGTCTGGCTGGAAGGCTGCGAACCTTGAGGTTACCAGGAAGACGGAGGCCCTCGTGATTAACCCTACATGCTCCGTGACTTCACCCGGTAGGGAGACTGCACACATGCTGGGGTACCCTAAGATGGGCCCACTGAAGAGGCAAGTCTTCCTGGGGTCTGGAATGTGGCTGCGGATCAGGGCACTGCTAGGTAGATACTGTGGATGAAGGCACAAGGTTACTATTGTAAAAGGGGTTCAGGGCCTAGTGAAGAGGAAGGGGACCGGGGCCTTCCAAAGGAAGCAGGTGAGAGTCCTGCAGATTCATGAGGGTTTGATGGGAAGCACTTGCTTTAGGAAATGTACAGAAGTCTGAACAGGAAAAGAGGAAACAGTTGAATTGGAGCTGGGCCTGTTGGCACATGGCCTGTAATCCCAGAACTCTGGGAGGCTGAGGCAGAAGGACTGCAAATTTGAGCCCAGCCTGGGCAATTTAGCAAAATTCTGTCTTAAACAAACAAACAAAAAAAAGACATCTGGGATGTAGTTTAGTGAGAAAGCTTGAATTAAAGCCCCAGAACCGGGGGGTGGGGGGCACAATTAACTGAAGAGTGCACATTTGGGAAATGACCAGAGTCAGATCAAAGTTTTACCCTTTGAATGCCTCAGAGTGTGGTTAAATTTCAACACATGAACCCTGGGAGACACTCCGCCTGTATCCCAACTGTAGCCTCCTCTTTTGTGGAATAACTAAAGTTTCACTGATTCAGTCTTTCATGCACACAGCCTTTCTGCAGCTACACTCTTGAGTGCCTCAAAACTTGAAATTACCTTTGATGTGTGTGTATCATTAGCTTTTGTGTCTGTATGTTAAGTAGGTGGGTATTGGACTCAATGATTTTGATGGCAGTAAGGAATCACTTGTGAATATTTTAAAACACTCTTATTTCTGTCTTGTGCCTTTGTGGTTTTATAATATCTATTTGAGATCTCACCAGTTTTTGAAGCTCAGCTGGGTGGTTGTATTTAAAAGGTTCAACATAAAGCTAGTTTTATTTAAAAGGCACTTTTTAATTTCTGTCACCTTTGTAATGATTTTAACAAAAATATCATGTATCCCTCTTCTGCATCTCTTAACATGATAAAACAGCTGATCATGTTGCCACGACAGTCGGTTTCTGATATGTTAAAAAATTGTGGAAAGTACCAGGTATTTAAGTTTCTCAGAGAGTAAAATGTATTTATTTGAACTGTCATTTTCAAGGTATGCAGGATTTAGAACTATAGAATTGATGCTGGGCCTTTCTTTCAAAATATGGTTAGTAGGAACACGTTGAAGGTATGAACTGAAGGACTCCTGCCTGGTTTGATGTCATTTTTTAGTGGTTGCCAAAGAAACGAAAGCTCTAATTTAGGAGAGTGAGTTGGAAAAGAGCAAGCAAACTAAAAATTGTTGGCTTCAGGGGTTGAAGTTGGTCCCCTGGAACCGGTTTTTTCTCTAATATTAAGTGACTCAGTTGCTGCTCCAGAAATCATGACAATGTCTTTAACTTTGGTTTCTGTAAGGAGGCTGGGACTTACTAAACCTACCACAGCCTGGCTTTCAGAACCATATTAGGCATTTGCCAGAGCCTGGTGCCCTGGAACGCTGTCTGAGGGCTGCCGGCACGCGTGCCAAGCTGCTGCGTATCAGGATATCATTAGTGGATTACTTCTATCTATAGATTATTCTCAAAGTTTATTTAGCAGACTGTAATTTTAAGCGTATTTCATGCATCTGACATTGAGAAAGCAATCAAAATTTGAATTATTAGAGCTTTTTAAAGAATACAAAATATAAAAGTATCAACAAAATAGAACCCTTAAAAATGTAAATACATACAGAAATTAGAGCAATAGATCCTGAAATTTAAAGGACTGAATATTGTTACACTACAAAATTAGTATTACTGTAAAAAAATCAAATTATGATGTGTAGGCATTATCAAAGCAATTGACCAGATGAATTTTTTTAAGTAAAATATGAGCCCATTTTCCAGTATCATGGAAAACAAATTTTCTTTTTTGTTTTTATTTTATTTTGTTTTTAATTTTGGGACAGTGTTTTGCTAAGGCACTAAATTACCTAGGCTGGCCTGGAACTTGGGGTCCTTCCGCCTCAGCCTCCCAGAGTGCTAGGATTATAGGTATGTGATACCATGCCCAGCTGGAAAACAGTGCTCTGACTGAAACTTTACTTACATAATTACTATTTTTAACATTAGACTTATGATTACAAAAATAATTTAGTCTTCAAAACATTATTTATGCTCTAGAGGCCAAGACAAATATTTCCATGTGCTGAATAGGCCTCTGGTTTGATATTACCAAGAGTAATATGCTACACGGGAAAGTACTCTACTGTTAGAGTGCTTCGAAGCAAACTTTCATCACTCACACCCCTGTGTCTTGCAGAACTCCCTCTCTGATTGTTTCTATTTCATCATCAAGTATTTATGGACATGCTGCGCCCTGTGTCCAGCCCAGTACTTCAGCATTGAAAGTTACAGACCTAAGCAGGGGCCTGTGGCTGCCCCCGAGGAATGCATGGTCTAGAGCTGGGTGTGTAGTTGCATGAAATCCAAGAAACCTGTGAAAGCTTGAGTATGGCACCCATGGGAACATGTAGCAAGGGAATTAACCGGTTTCCAGGGAATAAACTTGATAATATGTGTAGATGAGAAGCATCTGAAACTGATTTTATCAGACTACTGCATGGTTCTCTTATAAGTTGCACATAAATATTTAAGGTGTTAACATTTTTGTATCCCGATTCCTCCCCAAGATAGTTTGAGGTTATTAATTTTTTAGTTAGCAAATTACTCTTCTATTTCTGTAAAACCTAAATATTTCCTTTTTTTCTTATACCTGTCAAGAAGAACAACCCAATCTTTGTTGCTAAATTCAATTTCAAGGTCCTTTCAGCTAAGAGGAGCAATCCGTCACCCCAAAGCATTCCTATCGTTGTGCCTCCTCCCATGTGCCACCCTTGTGGTTGAAGGTCCATCTTAGTATCTGCTGTAGCAATAAATAGTTTTTTTTTTTTTTAACCACATGACAAGGATTTAATTGACAATCTGGTAAATGATACCAAAAAAAAAAAAAAAAAAAAAAAAAAAGAGCTGCCAGCACTCTGCCCCAGTGTTATGCCATCAGTTATCTCACCACGCGGAGTGTCGGTGACATGTTCAGGTCGCGGTGTGGGAAGCAGGGATGGGCGCCCCTGTACTGTAGCATATGTTCACAGCACATGCTCTGTGACCCCGGAAGCGCTTCTTCCTCTCCTAACACGTGCCTGGGGCAGTCTTAACAGAAGCTCCAAAGTGGTAACCAAAACACTCTTTCCTACACGACAGATGATGCATCGTCTTTTTTTTTTTTTTTTTAAGAAAAGTGTTTTAATCATTCTCATGAAATGCTCTTTAAAACAAGATGAAACTGTGTGCATTTTATACCTGATTCTGTGCTGCTTTCCCATACTAGCCTGGTTAGTGGCAGGACACAAGGAAAAGTGTATTTAAAAACCAAGCTGGGGTTGTATAGGGGAAGTATTTTTAAAAATATGTATCTCTGAATGTAAGTATAAAAGCACCCTCTAGTTTCTAGTGTTTTCATCTCTCAAATGGTTCAAGGAGGAGTTAGAGACGGTGATCTAGTCTCCTCTCTAAGCTCTTTCAAGCCTTTTTATGTGGGAGAGTGTGCTAACGGAAAGGGGAGGCACTTACTAGGCATGAGAAAGGAGACTGGAACTTTTCATATCAATCTAAAAAGTTACAAATGAAAGGAATCAGTGAAGTCTTCTCATTTTCTACATGAAAAACTGGAACCTAAAGCAGTTAAGGCAATCGCCCTGGGCTGTGTGAACTGTTTGTGGCAGAATTGAGGTTACAGCCCTGCCTTCTTGGCTTGAATTCTGTCAACAAAGTTGGTACTCAGGAACCTGTTTCCTATTTGTAAAGAAGAGTGCTTGAAGTTAGCAGATGATGATGATTGAAATTAAAGACTTGATGTGACAAACTGGTCTAAATCTGTTCCTGCCCTGCCCTTTCGGCTGCTCTGTGAGAAAAATAAGCTAAGTGCTTGAGCCTCTTGTGCTTATCTGGAAAGTAAAATGAAATCTTTAGGGAAAAGAGAACAAATAAATTTAAAAATACAACAGTAATGGTGAGACCAGCCAGCAAGTCTCCGTATACAGGCTTTGGGTTCTGGCACCTGGGCAGGTTGTAAATTCACATTTCCGCTTTGCCACTTCAAAGCGTTTATTGGATTTGCCTCTCTGAGCCTTGGCTTCTTCATCTGTCAAATACAGTTAATAACATTTACCTCAGAATGTTTCCATAAAGATGAGCCCCGATTGTGTGTACTACCTTATTTATTGTATCTCAGCTCACTAGTGTATAAGCATGGACCAGTTAACTTACTTTCCGTGACTGTTTCACTGTAAATTGTGGCAATTTCTCTGATGTTATGGTCTCATCCCTTAACTTGGAAATCACTTGGTCGCAGAATAGCGTGCATTTTAGTATGTTGGACCTGCACACAGATAAGCACATGGGACTCGCTTGTGCTAACTAAAACTTCAGCCTCCGATCTCCTGTTGGAGTTGGAGCCCAGGCCGTGCGGAGGTGTTGAGCAGGAGTGGGGCCTGACGAGGCTGCACTGCACGGAGTACCCGCGCTGATCCCGCTCTTTTTCCTGCTCTTTCTCAAAGGCTTCAGACCTCTAGATTCAGAGACTTCCAGGATGTCTCTGTTTCCCGCTCCGCTGGAGAAGTAAGCCCATGTCCGGGCATGGGTGCTGGGGCGGTGAGGAAAGAGGCTCCTGCCTGATGCTGGACCCGAGCCCTGCGATTCTTTTGATCCGGGGTGCTTCCTGTGAGGCTTTGCGAACCTGAAGTTGCGAGGGCTGCTGAGAGTTGAGGGGAACCGACCTGGAGAAGGACTGGCCTGTCTTCCCTGAGGAGCCCTACCCTCTGGTCTCCTCCATCCTGAATTCCTCTGGAGACTCCTGTGGGCTTCCTGCCTCAGAAACCTCTAAGCAAGGAACAGACACTGACCGTCCCGAGGGTACA